TACTCTTTCAAAAGCTAAAATTTTGTTAAGATATGAAATTAATCTTTTCATTAAGTTGTCTAGATGAAATAGTCGTTTATAAATTAAAGTATTAATGCTAAAAATAATTTACCGTAGCCTGCCGCATAGCATAAGTATAGTTTTATCTTGGCTCCAAAAACTTTAACTAGCATAAGATATAAGTTGATGCCTTCTATTAGCATCCATATGAAGGCTGCAAGAAGTAGATAATGCAGTAAAGCAGCCATAATGATGCAGATAACCTATTAAGAATACGACAAGAACGGAGAGGTCGTAAAGGGTTCCATAATTACAGTAAAGCTTGTATTAATGAAGCAAGTTATTCGACTAATTAAATAAATAATTAGGGATAGCAATTAATTATGAATGAAGAGATCCTAAAAGATTTCATTACTGCAGCTGAGCTTGTGTTAATTAATTAAGGTAGCAATGATACGTCTAAGGATTAGTTTAGGGAATATCGAAATGATAAGCTGAAACCGATTTATGCCTTTTCTTTCAATTAGTATGTTTAGCATTATACTTACCGTTACTTCTGTTCTTTGCAAACCAGCAACAACAATAATATTGACCAGTAGTAAGCAGGAAAATAAATTTAAATGGATTACCGTGTTTGGGGACTTTATGCGACTAGATTAAACGAAAAAAATACCTATTTAGCAAACCTAAAATTCGAAAAAACTCGAGTTGTTCTAAATAAATATTTAGGCAAATAAGATATTTCCTGTAATAATTAACCTTCTGTAATAAGTGTAAACGGAGATAGTAATGAGGAGGCCAATGATAGAGAGCCCACAGCCTATGTAAGATAGAATTTCCAATGATAATCGAATCTCCGGATTTTCCTGCAGGAAGCAATCCAGTTCAGAACAAAATGTGAATTGAATAGGACAACAAACACTTTAGAAATCTTATATCGTGATATAGCCTATAATATATGAACTAAAGGATAAAAGATCTGTATAAACATTGTTTGACTTGAATAGCAAGTAGGGCCAGTAATTGAAACTCATAATCTAAATCACTTCTGTCGCATTACAGTTTGTCTTAATGATGTAAGGTTAAGTTATCATAATATAATCTAAAGATAGCACAAGCATGATTTTAGATATTCGCTCAAGAGTATATACCAGTAAATAAATAGCGCGAGTATTTGAAAAAAGAGTAGTACGTGGGGTTTGCGAATTGTCCGTGGCTGTTACTGACATTATCATATTAATAACTTTGTGCTGGAAACGAAAGGTGCTATTTTGGCCACTAATAAACCTTAATATATAGCGTTTGAGATAATCAGTTTATACGCATAAATTATATGCATTTATGCCGTGTATCGTAAAGTAATGTGATTAGAATTATCCTGTCGCATCCTTAAATATTAATCGCTCCTACTTGATCTAGAAATATGTAGTGTACACTTATAGATTTTATGTTTTAAAAATATGAAGACCAAACATGCAAATCTATGCATATCTGCTGCGACTAATAATGCTTGAAAGGAACTTTATCTAACGATAATTCAAAGATATGAATCGTAGCGATCATTTCAATATTGAAGGGCAAGCAATACTATGATGATCTAATTCTGAAGAAAGGCTTCATAAACTTTTAATATTAATATTAGAAGTAAAGCGACAGCACTATAGGATTTCAGCTAGACGATAAGCCATAAATCTACGATGTATAGTATAGCCATTGATTGCTAGATTTTAGGAGAGTGACCTAAGATGAAATTAATTTTGCTACATAAATAAAAAATTGCCTAATTTAGTATTTCAACTTACGGAAACTCCACGGAGACTAACTAAGACTGCGAAATTCGTCAAGTGATCACAGTGACAGATTGTATGTGTTTCGTTGGTGAAATTAGCTTTGCATCCACTGGTATCCCAAGAGCTAAATAGTATTAATAAGTGTATTAACTGACATTAATTTCAGCGTGACCGTAGACATTGTGATCTTTCTTCAGTATAAATTAGTCGCCATAAAAAATTTGACAGAAGAGATATTTCTTCGTTTAATTAATATTGTCAAGATATTGTATAGAATAAGCTTTAAGTTCCAGTTGCTTAATTAAAATAACCTGATATCAAAGTTATAGAACACGCAAGAGGTGTTATCTTTGGAAGATGTCTTTATAGTGGAAATAATGAAAAGAATCAATTTTGTGTTTATATTAAATTAGTCTACTCAGCAAATTCAGTCAATAATTTAATAAAAATCGAATTTACATAATTTTCATGTTGCAAAACAATGACGATTGGATTTTTCAATATTTTGTCTAATTTTGGATCCACAGTAGTCGAAATAATATCCGAATTGACTTTTGGAGTTTTATTGCTAGAAATAAAATAACGTGATTAATACTTTTTTATTCTGTTTCTCAATTAATTTAATGAATGTATAGACAATTTACTAGTAAATACTGCATAAAAGTGAAGTGCGTAAATGTCTATATGTAATAAGCTGCGCTAAATCGAGTCATTTATCTGATGCCGTACAATTTCAAAAGCTTTTAAAAACCTGCTTTTAGTATCCAAGATATCACTGATAGAGGTAAACAGTAAGCTAATAACCTTGATGGAACCATTATAACCTATTAGATTGCAATGGAGAGAATTGGAAATAGGATCAAATTAGGTTTTAATTATTATGATTTAAGGCTACAAAGTAATCAAAATATACTTTCTATGTTAAAATTTTTAAAATATACAGTACCTTCTCGTTGGAAAATTCCTCCTGGCAGCGTAATACTGCTAGTATCCTTTTGTTTTCCAGTTCCACCTAGAGCTGATGGCCGAAACTGATAACTTTGATTGGCCGTAGGAGGTATTACTTTAGATTCTAAAACTAAAATAAAACAATTTTCTCAGATATTAAAATAATGTAGCTACCTTTATTTCGATACTATAAATACAGAAATTCTTCTCTGTCATTGCGGTATTAGTTATCATAAACTTAGATAAACTGTAAATAAAAGGTATAAAAATCAATTTCATTTTATATCATAGCAACTAAAAGAATAATGGACCGCAACGAAGAAATTTACTGATTGCTGGAAAACATTTATCGTAGCGGGCAAGATTTACGAATCAAGGCTGTTATATAACAAAATAAAGCTATAAATTTGGATCAAAAGTTATTTGCTAAACTCAAAGAATCCTTTCGAATTGAAAAGGACAATGTTATGAATTGATAATTACCAATGTTTTCAGAAACAACCACAAAGCTGGTTTCATTTTCTTTCATTTCTTTTTTCATTACATAACTTGTAATTATTTCTGTGACTTTCATAATCCCTTGGCTGGGTTTTTTCTGAGTTAAATGTTATGATAATCATTTAATATTGAAACGTGTTTGTAGAAGGAGCGAGAAAGGATGAAAAACTATAAATATCATATATACCTTTTACGTTAGATATTTACAAAATATTGTTACTGTGCACATAAAATTTACGATAAACGCCTTCCAGTACTTTAAATTACTCTCCTTACATCGTCAATTTCCTTCCACGATTCTTTATTGGCTTGATGAACAATGTTACTTGAGGATTCAATAAAAGACTACGAAAAAATGACATTTTGAAAATTTTGAAGTAATTCAAGGGTATCAGCATCAAATTTGATCCAATATACTTTTAAAATTACTCAATCGGATAGTAATTTAAGCTTATGAAGAGATTGAGGTTAAAGATACAAAACAATGATGATCGCTTATTAACCTCAACTTCATCATCTGTCGGCTGCTTATCGTTTGTAGTTGCATTTAGAACGTTTTCTAATATATTTGTTGCTACGAGAATATCACCACTCAATAAAGGTTTATCCTTAGAAACTGTTGTAATGTTAACTAATTCTCGGGTAACTTCACCAATATTGCTTTTGTTACTTTGTAAGTTCGCGATCTAGTCGCAATAGATAAATGATCAATTAGATAAAAATATTAAAGCAATTTTAATAAATTCCAATTTAGCTTGATACTTGCTTTATCTTGTAATGAATTAAATTTAGGTGATGTACAGGCAGTAAAAACAGGAATATCCCAAGCAGGTGTTGAAGAATTTTTACACAATCTGCTTGCTAAACCTGAAACATAAAATTAATGAAATTGATGCAGAGACAATTTATATTTAATTAATCAATTCTTTGTTATATAAAGGTATGATGGGGCTACAGATTTAATACTGAATCGATCGGATACACAATCAAGATTTGTTCACTTCTGATGAATATGCGGGCAAATTATGATCTTGTTTTTAGATAAATCGTGCTATTTACTCGTGATAAGCACTAAGTGGCTACCTTATTGCACACTATCAGTCAATAAATTCTATTCCATTTAATAGAAATGGTAGGTATAGGCAATGATTTAGATATATTAATAAGCACGGTGATTTATCGATAGATCTGTTTAGAAATATAGCTGGTCTTAAATCTTTGTTTTACCAATTTGTAAATAATTCAAATCATATTCAATAGTAAAGTAAAAGGATAACAGAGCAAAAGGGTACGCATTGCACATTAGAATCAAATGTGCTAATAAAGAAAATGATGATAACGAGTATACAGGAATTAGTTATGGGAGCACTTTAATTTTAGACGGAGAGTGCTATTGCTTATTCATCGCCAAGATCGATATTTTATAAGCAATAAATCAAGTCTAGCTAAGATAGAGTCCCACAATTATGGTATACTCATATACATTATATGTGAACACTAAAGGAGGATTATCCAAATGATACCTGCACTACCAGGTGGACATTTAGCATATGCGATGCGGCCAGCTAGAGTTTCGTTCCAGAACACGGTAGAATTTTCTGCTTTGCAAGTCGTGATTTCTCCAATAATTTCTATTAGAAAATGAGATACCGACAAGGAAGAAACTTTTAATATCGGTATATTTCTAATCTGCGAATGTTTGACGAACAAATGCAATGGACCATCGATAATCAAACTAGGCTCGTAATTCTAATTCTAATTACCTTTTTCGCATGTTGGCCCTTCAAATTTAGGCGGACAAGTACATCGATATCCTCGTTCAATATTAATGCATCGGCCATTATTTTGGCATGGATTAAGGCGACATTCGTTGATATCTATGATAAATATTATATCAAGTTTAAAAAAAAAATTGACTCAGTAAGGTATTACCGTTATGGTTATATAGCACCTACAGTACTATAGGAAGTTACCACAGTACGCGGTATATACTATGTTTATCGAAGTGAATTTAAAAATATAGGTTAGAACTGAAAAATAAAATTTACCTTCCTCACAGTCTTTTCCTGTATAATATTGATTGCAACTACATCGGTAATCGTTAAACAGATCCGTACACCGGCCGTAGTTTTTGCATGGTTTGAGTAAGGCGCATTTGCTAATTTCTATTTGAAAGATACTGGTAGTTAGCGTCAAGGGTTAGAGATATTGTGTTATTTATTTTAGTTCTATAGTTATCCAACTTATCATGGCTCTGAATTATATCGAATCTTCATGTTAAGACTAAGAATTTTTGGCTACATTTCACCTTCATCGCAGGATGAACCAGTATATCCTGGTTGGCATAGACAGCGATGACTATTGCGTATATTTTGACAAGTGCCATTGTTAGAGCAGAGAGACTTACAAGTCAACGGATCTAAATTGGAAAGTACCGATAATAAAATAGAGAATATGTAATAATTCTCTGCAATTCATACCAACGAAATTAATTAATAATACTTGTATAGTTAGCAATAACTTGCTGCCTCATGGTTTAAATTTTCTTACGAAAAAGGTAATATTTCTTTAAGATTTTACATTTAAGAATATAATCATCCATCAGTAGATTTTTTATTAACTGATTAAATTTTTTAACCTTTTTCCGCTAACAGACTAATTGTTTGATTGTGCGTTCTCGTTATGTTGCAAAAAAAGTTAAGACGAAGGGTCCAAGTTCTAATGATAGATGGGTTACAATAAAGACGAGTAATATTTCGGTGGGTTATGGTTACCAGCTTCATTACATCTTGTCTGCAATTTCTGGTTAAAAATCGAACCTGCGGTTTATCATCATCGTTACTGCTGTTATACGGACAACGATCACTTCTAATATCTTCTGGCCAAGAAATATTATAATTTGCAAGTAAGATATTGATAGTCTGGGTTTTTATAATTTGGTTCCTGCAGTGATCTATAAATGACCACGTCCTGCGTAATTCGTATTGACATCCATTAAGGATTGGCCTAGAATCAACGTAAGTAATTTTAACATTATTTGTTTGATTGTGAATATATAGAGGGCAATATGGCGGTGTAATTATTTTTGGCTTGTCAGAAATACTTTTAAGGCTTTCAGCAATATCAGCACATGAATACGAGGTAATTGAAGATGATAAACTAATGCTCGGTATACTTTGGGTATCTTCGTCAATTTTTCCGTCTTGATCATCATCTACCCCATTAAAAATCTCTTCGTCGATATTCCCATCACAATCATTATCAAACTTATCTCCTGGCAAAGGATTATCTTTGACGCAATAAATTTTATGTGGCAATAGATTTAAGCGAGGCAAATATGTAAACACGAAATCAGTACTTAGACTAAGCAGCATGCTAAATTTTACATTACGATTAACGTGATAAATTTCACTATTTGCGGTTAGACGATCTAGTTTTCTATCTAGCTTGATAATAGAATAGTCAATTCCATTAAGGACAGTCCAATTACTGGAGTTTAATCTTGCTTGCCTTAATCGTAAACCATTAGTTTCATTACTTGGTACTATAAGTGTTAAGCCACTTATAAAGGAGTTAACATTAGAAATCCAGTAACGGTTAGAAAAGTGCTTAATAGCTTGAACAAATGATGTTACTGTTGTCATCATATTTACATAACTTATATCCGTATTACGGCTAGAAAGAAGTAAACACGGTTTACTACATTGTAGATAAAGCGTATCAGGTAATAGAATATGCTCTTGATCAATTATCTCGAATTTTCTTGCAAGCAGTAATTTAAATTGAAGATTGCCGCCAATCTTGCTTATATTGAATTGATTGCCATTAATAGTAATGATAGTTTCATTGTACGGCGTAACAAGATTGATGTGCGTATCATTATTTTGCAATTCTGTCATGATGAAATCTTGCCCAAGTGATGATATAGGAGGTATTTGCAAGGATATAGTAGGACCAGCCATAAAGTTTGGAGTTGATGTCATATCTGGATTATGATTGGTACTTGCTAAGAATACAAAGATAGGTTTAGATGTTGTAATTCTAGCAGTATTGTTAAGCGAATTTGTAGCATTAACAGGAATCAGTGTATATGAATTAGGTCGGGTAGTCCATTCTGATTGCATTTGATCACGATTGCCGAAATAGTCAATATCGATAGTAGTATTTTCCTCCAGAGTCAGCAAATAAAAGTTAGACCCGCTGTTAATTATTGAATTTAATGGGATAATGTATTGCTTCGCGGCAGTTGCTTTAGGCAGCATTAAAACAATTTTTCGGAATATTTCTGTACCCATGTCATGAATAGATACACTGATTGGATTTGTAGAATTGATATAGATAACTTCGTCAAAGTTTCTTGTAAATATAGACTGATCTTCAATTTCAACTATTCTACGTGTTAGCTGGCTAATGTTATTAGAAAAGTTCCTTTTAATATCCCTCACGGTAAATGTAGCAGCAGATTTGGACTTTATCTGGTATGGAAGAAAGTGCTTATAGATCGCATTAATATCTACCACGCCTGGTTCGTGGAAAGTTATTATAATCTCGAAAAAACTCTTACTAGAAACTGGAAAAGCAAATTTTTTACCCATGGTACCTTGATTACCTATCATTAAATTAAATTTGCAAAATTTTTAGGATAATGATTCATTTTAGGAATGCAAGATAGAAAAATGTAAGAAGTATCTGGTCCAAAATATACCAGCGCTATTTAAATAAGTCTACGAATCTTCAAAGTTTTCAATATGTTCATGATAGAAGATACTAAGATTATAAATTACATCTAGATTTCATATCTCATGTAATGATTATACATAAATTGATATTTTATGATTTCTTCAGTAGATATTTGGCACCTTTAATTTGGCATAGAGTTCCAGTATATTCTTCAGAGCAATGGCACGTAAATTTATTGCGTCCGAGGTGTTGACACGTGCCATAATTTAAGCAGGGATAATCATCGCATCTATTCAGTTCTAATAGGATAATAGTTGATTACTGTACATCATCAATTCTACAAAACTTTTTAGTTGTAGCAATTGTAAAATTTATCTAAAAGTATTCTTGTCTGCTTGGATGTACTACAATCTTCGAATTATCCTGACAAGTTCAATTATTTATTTTAACTTACCTGTCGAGCATGTTGGATCTGTGTAGCCAATCAAACATTTACAGGTAATACCGGTTGATGAGCTCAAACATGTACCACTGTTATTACATGGATTTGATGAACACGGATCATACTCTAAATAATAATGATTTAGAAGGAGTGCAAAGATAATTATCATTTTCAACTAATAACTGATTAAAAATATTTTCAAATTAAAACATAAAACAGATTACTTATTTCACAGTTTTTGCCAGTATAGAGAGTCAAACAACGACAATTATAGGCGTTATTAGCTTTAGATGAAACTATGCAAGTTCCCCCATTCTTGCATGGATGATTGACTGGGCTGCATATACTTATGTCTAGGAGGTAAAAATTAATTTAAATAATCAGTTATCTTAATCGCTATATGAAATACTTTAAATCAAGTGAATTTACTTATTTCACAGGCCAGACCCGTACGATCTGATGGACAAGAGCATTCATAGGAATTTAATTTATCTATGCATGTAGCATTTGCATTTCGGCAAGGATTTGATGAACACTCATTGATTTCTGCATTAGTAAGAGATTGTAACTTATCAATTACTTAAATTATACTCGACTTTATCTATATCCTTATTTGCTAAAATTTGCTGGTAAGAAATGCATACACATACGGTATATATATGGGTATTTGTACGGCGTATATGAATTTGTTAATTATATAATATAGCATAGAACTCTGAAATTTAATCTAAGTGTAGAATACATAGAAGCGTTAAATCTGATTTATCGTCTTTCTCGTTATACCTGTTTCACAATGCAATCCAGAATATCCGCCTCTGCAATTACACGTGTATGATCCATCAGGTTGGTTATTACAATTAGCGGAATTGAGACAAGGAGAACTACGGCACGGATTGATATCTGTAACGATTATAGAATATTTTATAACGTGTGAGTTAGTATGATATAAGTTTGTAGATGTGCTTTATTGTAACAATTTCTGTTAGAGCTTAATCCGATCATAATTTATATTTGAGATACTAAGTCTAATTTATCGTTTTTCTCGTTTTACCTGATTCACAATGTAATCCGGAATATCCTGCTCTACAATTACACGCATACGATCCATCAGGTCGGTTACTACAACTAGCGGAGTTGAGACAAGGAGAACTACGGCACGGATCGACATCTGTAACGATTATAGATTAAGTATTTTACGACATATGGGTTAGTACGATATAAGTTTGTAGATATGTGTAATTGTAATAATTTTTATGGGAAATTTTTATTAGAACTTAATCCGATCATAATTTATATTTGAGATACTAAGTCTAATTTATCGTTTTTCTCGTTTTACCTGATTCACAATGTATTCCAGAATATCCTATTGTACAACTACACACATACGATCCATCAGGTCGGTTATTACAACTAGCGGAGTTGAGACAAGGAGAACTACGGCACGGATCGACATCTGTAACGATTATAGATTAAGTATTTTACGACATATGGGTTAGTACGATATAAGTTTGTAGATAAGTGTAATTGTAATAATTTTTATTAGAACTTAATCCGATCATAATTTATATTTGAGATACTAAGTCTAATTTATCGTCTTTCTCGTTTTACCTGATTCACAATGTATTCCAGAATATCCTATTGTACAACTACACACATACAATCCATCAGGTCGGTTATTACAACTAGCGGAGTTGAGACAAGGAGAGCTACGGCACGGATCGACATCTGTAACGATTATAGATTAAGTATTTTACGACATATGGGTTAGTACGATATAAGTTTGTAGATAAGTGTAATTGTAATAATTTTTATTAGAACTTAATCCGATCATAATTTATATTTGAGATACTAAGTCTAATTTATCGTCTTTCTCGTTTTACCTGATTCACAATGTATTCCAGAATATCCTATTGTACAACTACACACATACGATCCATCAGGTCGGTTATTACAACTAGCGGAGTTGAGACAAGGAGAACTACGGCACGGATTGATATCTATAGCGATTGTAGAATATTTATAGCTCTTAAGACATTGCAACATGATTTTGTAATTGTTTACAATTATAATAATATGATAGGAGTTGATTTATTATTGGTTTTTAAACGATTAATTCCTTCATTTAGAAATAATGTCGTGCACTAGTAATATAATTTTGCTAGCGGTTTTGACCCGTAAAGCCAAAGGTCAAGTACATAAATAAATGCACACACTAATGCATGAGCAATTGAGCTTGTACCGCCAATTACGGCAGAAGTTCGCGCTTAGAATGAAATTACTCATTATAACGTTTCAGAAAGAGTATCAGGAATTAGTTAGTATGAGTAATTTACTTGATGTGTAAAAACCCAAATGTGTAATTATTAGTAACTTCAAATTTAACTGATTAATAGTGAATCTTACCAATATCACATAATGTGCCAGTTCGCTCTGAGGGGCAATTACATGTAAACCTATTTACTCCATCGATGCAAGAGGAATTAGGATGAAGGCAAGGACTCGATGCACATTCGTTAATACCTGTAAATGAAGGAAAATAAATTTATAGAATATAACAATTACATATTGGCTACAGTACTCCAGTGATTCAGACTAGGTACTGTATAGTGCTATTTACTGTTAATAAATTAATATCTGCGAATAAAATTTTGATTTATCACTTCGAACTTGTACATGTAAAGTCCGATCTTTTCTTTTGGTAGCCCATTAATGTAAAAGTTGCGTATGTTTTAAGTACTACATATATGTATAGTGTGTGTACTTCTATATGTTAATAACTGAATCAGAAAATTCATTATAGCTTACTCAGATGATGTGAATATGACTGCGATTGCTATATCTTATCTTATAAAGCCGAATTATGGTATTAAAGAAATGAATACAGTACTGTATTTGTAAATCGATCCTAGGACGAAATTTACTGTTATTTGGATAGTCTTACTTTGATTACAAATCAATCCCGTAAAACCATTTTGGCAGCTACAATTATATGCGTTTATGCCAGCAAATGAGCAATTTCCTCCATTTAGACATGGTATACTCGTACGACATAAATTTCCATCTGTTTCATGTTGTTTCATAACTTTAATACTTCTACATTTGCTTGTACTGTAGAAGAATTGCTTTTAAATTATTAAATCACAGTTTTACCCTACCGACTTCACAATTGGTGCCAGTCCATTCAGAGGGGCAATTGCAAGAATAAGAGTCAACATTGTTATGGCAAGTAGCATTTAAATGTTGACAAGGGTTGGAGGCACATTCATTGATATCTATTTAGAAATTAAAAGAGGCTTGAAATACATCACATATTTAGATGTAAATAATTTTAGATATATCGTAGCCTGCAGTATACAGTCTACAATCTCACTAAGGCTGGTATAAGCCTTAGAAAAGGATAACCGCAACATAGGTTTTATGTATATATTTGTTAAGTATAATATTTTATTGATTATAAATAGCCGCGAATTTTGAGACCTCATCCGATCGTAATTTATATTCAAAGAGCTAAGTTTAATTTACCATTTTACCTGATTCGCAATTTATTCCAGAGTATCCGGCTCTGCAAGTGCATGTGTACGATCTATTTTGGTGACTAGTACAAGCAGCAAGATTGAGGCAGGGAGAACTACGGCATGAGTTCATATCTCGTATAGCGATTGTAGAATGAATATTTTAAATATATATTAGTACAATATGAATTTACCGGTGTACATAATAGAAATGATTGAATCAAAATTAATTCATAATGAGATTATTCAAGTTGATATTTTCTAAGAATTTTCTTAATTATCGCATAAAGATTAACTTAAAATGGTATCGGTGCCAGTAATTTACTTGGTTATATTGATTTCTAAGTTTAAATGATGTTATAATGTATAAATTATTAGATATAGTAACACGAATACTTTCACTTCTTAAAGGTATATCTAATTTTAGAACTGGATCGAAAGTAATAAATTCAAGAATAATTCTTTAAGTTTTGCAATGATATTATATTATATATCGCCTTGCTAATACTAATCGACAATTGTTAAGATTCGCTAATTATAGCTATTTATACGGCATATCAAATAGATTTATCGGAAGATTATCAATTGTAAAATAATATCGAGTTCTGAAACTTGATCTAGCTATGGTGTAGGTATAAGATACTAGGTTGAATTTATTGCTGTACCTATTTCACAACGTGCTCCTGTATAGCCACTATTGCAATCACACCTGTACGAATTATTTACCAGAGTAATACAAGTGACGGAATTAAGGCAGGGAGAACTTCGGCATGAATCAGTAACTATATATCAAATGTAAAAATAATGTTTTTAAATTTTGATAATTAATCTCTGGTTATTATCTGCGAGTGTAATTTAAATTTGACGTACTTGCAGAAAATTTAAGACTAAACCCTTGGGAGGTGCGACGATTAAGTCCGCGGAACCAAACTTGAACCGTATTGTTTCGAAATATGATAGGATTATTTGAACTGCAAAATAATTTAGTTTTTCCGATATCTCCAGCATACAAAGCCAGCCAGACATCCCGACAACTGTCAAAACTTGTTAAATTGATAGAGACTGTTTCCATATAAAGGCTAGAATTCGTTAGGGAATCAGGGATTTTAATAGTCCACAAACAGTCTGTTTGACTAACACCAGAATTCATTGTGTAATTGATAAACTGGCTGCTATCACTGGCAATTATTGTTGACTGGCCACATACATCTAATATGATATGGAATGAAATAAATTAAATAGTGTTTAGCACCTTCGACAGTAATTACTATCTCATTGCGATGGACTATTACAAGATCGAGTACTTGAATAGCGAATACTATGTTTGATGTACTGTTCAGTACGGTAGTAAGATTTGATCAGAAGCTTAAAAATTTTATGCTATGATTTTGATCATTGTGATGTACCGAAGTTTCTTGCAACCTCGCAAGTATAAGGATTCTGAGGAAATCGATTAGGACATTCGCAGTATTTTTTTCCATCTGTGAAGTCAGTGTAGCAACACCATCTATACTGCTGATCTGATTCGCATGTAAGACCCACTGGACAGTAGTTAGTAGGGCAGGAAAGCTCTGAATTAAAATATGATTGAAAGATTTTATGTGATAACACACACACTGAAATTTTTCATGAATTTTTAAAAGGAGAATAGCAGGTATTAACATAGTTTACTAAGGAGCGTGATAGACAAGTAATCTTCCAGGTTAAGGAAATGTGTTATTGTCTAAGCCAAGTTTGAATACAAGTAAATTTATTAATCACTTACTAGTTGGAATGGTTGGGCTAGGAGTTGGAGTTGTTTGAGCATCAGTTGAAGTATGATGTAGTAAAAGAAGCAACTATTGGATAAGAATCAAATATCAAAGTAAAGATATTTTTACAACAAATTAGAGTTTGATATGACATTTGTACAGAGCTCAATTCGCTATTAGAATTATCGTAATTCGAGAGTAATCACGTAAGCTAATGCGCAAGTAGGCAGCTATCACGCTTAGACGGTCTAATAGTTTTCATAGTCAAAAGCGTATACTAGTACTATATTGGCAAAAATTAGATAGCTGGAATAAGTAGTACAAACGGAAGGTTATAAATTTCGATTAAATACTTCTGTTTATGAAACTCTCATAAAACTATGTAAAATAATTAATTTCAAGTGCCGTATTCAATAAGGTATTACAATAAAATGATTAGTAATTAGAATTATACTGAAAGGATTTAATGGTTTAATTTTTACTCACTTGTATAGCGATAACAAAGGTATAAAAAACCCTCTGGATCGGAGTCTCTTCCATGCTATAATGCCGCACTAAATCACCGATATTATAAGCAAATAAAAAATTGTGCTGCTTTCTTTTGTCTATGTTATGATCTTAAACGTACGATATTTAACCGTAAGAATGAATATTTCAATTTTTTGTAGTCATTACAATAACTTGAAGATATTAAGTACGCTTGAAATTGAGGCCTTTTGTAGATTTAAAGAACCAAATTTACTATTGTGCGTTATTATGCGAATAAGGTTACTAATGGTTCAATCTAATCTTGGTAATGGTAAAGCGATACGTAGATATGCAGTGGCGACTTAGTAATGGTTTGAGCTTTATTCGCGTATACGGTAGGATTATTACGGGTGTAAAATATTTCGCCTGGGAGGATACCAACTTTGTTTATTTATTTTATGACGACGGCTCTTTGAATGAAATTTTTGAGTGGAAAATAATCAATACTTTACGTAATTATATATTTAATTATTATCATGATTCGATTTACTAGCCTACGATATTGCATTTCACCGCTGTGTGGATACTATATTTTTAATAATATCGTAGGTTAATGGAGTAATTGAGTAGTGCAGTCAAAATTACGAGACGGTTTACGTGCTGAATTTTCACGACTATTAAAGGCGAGTCTATTACCTTGTATATTTGCGGTAAGTTTAGTAAACGGATTCGAAACATGTGGTACTGTATTTGTTAATTGAAGAAGAATAACACCATCAGTGGACCTTTTGAAGCATCATTAATGTGATCTACTAAACTCGTAGGGAGTAAATATTATTCGCTATATTTTACTCTTTTAGCATCGTTAGTGCTACTGTCGCAGTGTCTGCCAATTTTAAATGGTATCTTCGGTTCTATCTCTCGTAAATCATGTTCAATTAAACCTACTCGCATTTTTGTAACGCATATCTTACATATTATACTTAAATTAGCGTTAACTGATTTGATTCACTTTGCTTGAACTGTATCTATACTTATTAGTTAAAATTTTCCCTAACGTCGTAAATCGATTAAATAGACAAGTATTTATTATTATTATTATTATTTTTACAAGAATGTTTCCTTAATATCTATAACTAATCCTAAATAGTATGTTTTGGGATATTGATAAAATATGACCAAGATTGGAAATGGTTCGATTACGTTATTGTTCAATATTCTGTCAATACTGTATAGGGCTCATGAAAATAGCGAGTTTGAATTCATGTATTGAACTTATTTAAAATACTCATGCAAGATCGACTCATAACTATTTTCTTCCAGTTTACTGAATCGCATGTAGTGTGTAATCATCTCTTGTTGTGGATCTGATGGTCTCTATCATCTAGTGATTGTAAATTTAAGACTATTCATTCATTTTAATGAGCTATATTCCCTATAATACCGGTGTGATATACTGTACGTCCCTGAATTTAAAGGCAATAATGATCGATTCATAATGGTTACTATTAGTTACTGTATCTGATTTAGGATTTGCCAATTTGATTTCTCGGCTTTAGAATCTCGTAGGATGTGAGTAGCGTGTGCGTAGTAGATGTGTTTTTCGTATTATTGTTGGACTAGGAGAGGTTCTGTTCAAAATAACGACTGTTGCATATATACAACACAATTGCGAACCTATGCAAACTATGTGGTGATGATTTTTTCACAAAAGTCCCCTGCCAATCGAGAGAAAAATTTTTCGCTCATTGAGAAAAAAATGGCCAAGAAAACATTGATTGGATCATGGTTGGTATGCCGCAGTTATCGACTTTTGTTGTCAAGTCCATGGTACGATCGACACCTCACGGCTCACACGGTGTCCAACACGAACAAATGCTAAATCCTTTTCATCCATGCAGCGATACAGACTATCACACCGTCTGTGTCTCTTTTAGTACAGTAGTCTGTAGCACCAAGTTGACACTGTATCCGAGATTTTCGAAGGCAGATTTACATCATTTAATCACTATATTACAGTGCATACTTTGCCGGTAGCATAACAGTATCGGATCATTCTCTGCTGTTTATAGTTATGTCCATAAAATACGGCTACTGCTACAGGACACTGGTACTTTACTACAAAACGCGTGAGCGGTCTTGACGAACCAAACTTTGGATCACCTACTGAGGTACAGCTGTACTGTCTCGGGCGGTTGGTCCATAATTAATTTGTTACCGTTGGTACAGTACAGTACAATACTGTACACTGTACACTGTAGAGTAGAGTACTGTACTGTACTCAGGGACTGTTAAAAACAAATAGAAAGCACGTACACAGAAACTTTTTCCTTTTTCTTTGAAATCATACATTTAAGCGCGTACCTTTAAATCTCTCTTGTTCAAAAGTATCTACTGTTATACACAAAACCCCACAATTTTCAATCCTTAAACCTAATCATGGATAAACGCCGAATTTCAATGACACATTAAGCTATAGTTACAGCCAATAAATTTGAAATTGGAAGTTCAAGTCAGCCATACAGTACACTAATTCATTGTCCGACGATTTTTTACGTTACCTCATACAGTAGTAAGCGTAATGGAATACTATCGTACCGTTCAGTACCGTTCTGCCTTGTGGTGGCATGGCAGTGTTCACTGTACTGTACAGTATGTGCCAGGCCGTGCAGTAAGCATTTCTGTACCGTACTGCATGTGGGTAAAACTAGGTAAAACTACAGGTCCACGTGCCTCCAGCTCAAAAATCACCACCATTATCAACTAGTCAAAGTCCAAGTCCACAGCTAGCAAAAGTTACTAAAGATATAAGCTATTTTATAATCCTGGTATATAATCTGTAGGTGTTAGATTACAACTGTATTGCTTGAACTCAACTGTGTACAGCATTAATCTCTGGAACACCCCACAATAGTAACAGGTACCTTGGTATCCACCCATCTCAGTTATTGCAAGGTTAATAGTACCTTAGCGTACAGTACTATTTAAGATTAATTAATTAATCAATGATTAATTTCGAGGCTCGCTATCCATGATTTCGAAGCTACAACCGATGATTGCTTGTTGTAGAGACTATAGAACAAAGTGAGCTACAAGTCTAGCTAGCTGGACGGGATGTGTAATCATTATGATCAGGCCGCACCGTAGAGACTGTTCATAAAGACGAAGGTATTAAAAGGATACACGTGTATGTATGCACATTGTACAGTATGATGTCAGTATCTACCGACTCCAGAGTCGAGATCCATCAACGCTTTCATAGTACAGTATCACAGTTTAGTATAAAAAGTCTAATTAATCTGCAAAATCAGGTACTCATTGCCTCATGCTTTCTTGCCACTCCTGTTTGTTATTATTATCGCTCAAGCGAACTTAATAACAGCCCGATTCATCTGCTAGAAATACCATAAAAGCACAGCACTGTACGTTTCAGTCCATAGTTCTGTAAGTACAAAGTCTAGTGCCAACAGTAAATATAGTCATGCACGGTATATCGTAAAATGAACTGATCGGCTAAAATGCTGAGCAAATTATCTCAAAATACAGGCATGCTTTAATATATGAAATCATTAGTGACAGTACAATAGTAATAATAAAACGTAAGTTTATTTTAGCTGATGGTGTCTGAATCCCATTCTATCCGGGTACAGTTTACGTACAGTAGTGGCTTTACTACATGAGGAAACACATATCGTTTAATAACAATCACAACTTACGATTTAACCGATTTAAGATGAATAAACATGATACGATAAGTAAGCACTACCGCTACAGGATGCCTCTTTCTCCGATAGAAAAGAAATCAAATAATTTAAAATATCTACTGTACTGTACAATAATTTTTCTGTACGCTTTGAAACGCTATTATCAGAAAGGTTCCGTCAAAGTTAGTAGTAACATAAGTAACGGCAAGCCTAAGAAATTAAATTAAACCATATCACATTCATTTTTTAAAAGGTAAAATTAAGTCACTGACCGATAAAATAAAACATTGACGACGTTTTAGCACGAAAATTCTAAGTATCCACTATCTCTCGCTGCAAATCAAGTCTGCAACTAAGTTTTAGTCCGATTAATTTAATAGTTTATCACTTTCAAGTAAAAGTTGGTAATTGACAAATTAGTGCATTACCAAGCAAAATAGATGCGACAAGCATTTTAAGTATTATAAAAGATAATCATAATTAGTATGCTAATTGGAACGGTGCAAAAGTGGACAAGACTGAAAATTAAATTCCAATCAACCGATCAATTTACGGCCAGTATGTATGGAGTAAAGAGGCACCTGAACCAAGCAACATCAAACTAAGCGCTAAATAACTAGTATAAGAAAACAAGAGAATGCGAACGCAGCCAACAACGTTAAAATTAGGTATTTGCCAGAGTTCTGTTACATTGAATCAATCCTTTCTGAGACTTAGGCATACCACTCCTTCTTTCTATCAATTGGAGGTGGCTGAGCACCAGTAGCGTCAGGACTTTGTTGCATACCAAGCTTTATTTCAGTCTTAGTCATTTCATTTGCTTCCCCAGTTTGATAACCACCGATAGTGGTACCACGCCATCTGATAAACAAATATAGTACAAGGATGGCTCCTATTACACAACCTATAATAATGCCAACGAGTGCACCAGTATCCATGACTCTATTTAAAGCTCAAAATATCGGAATCGTTGTAAAGCTAAGAAAACTAAGATAGCAGTTCGTTCGATTGAGAGGCGAAAAGTGTGCCAGTTGCGAGCACCCTAATCCGTTTTGACTGTTGAAATTGACGAAATGCGGGTAACGCTAGAACCAGTAGTGTAGTGTAGGAAAACTATCAATCGCGTACCAGCTACTACGGCGACGCAGAGGAACCGTACGTTTCACTTTTTATGAACAGTTTCACGCTGAGAGCGTGTGTGTTCAGTACAGTACTGTACAGCGTACTGTACTGAACAGTGTATCCTTATGGTCTGTACAGTGTACAGTACACTCCCTTACAGTACAGTACTGTAAAAACTTTTGAATACTGTACAGTACTGTATCCTTATGGTCTGTACAGTGTACAGTACACTCCCTTACAGTACAGTACTGTAAAACTTTTGAATACTGTACTGTACACTGTACAGTACAGTATCCTTATGGTCTTTACAGTGTACAGTACACTCCCTTACAGTACAGTACTGTAAAACTTTTGAATACTGTACTGTACTGTACTGTACAGTACAGAAGACTACAGTAGTTTTACCGTTCTGTACAGTAGGGACTTGTAAAAGAATACTGTACTGTACTGTAGTTTTTGTCTTTTACAAGTCCCTGACTACAGTACTAGACTGTACAGTGTACAGTGTACAGTACGGTAAAAAACTGACAAAGAACGAGCCCGCGTGCCTCCAGCCCTACAGTATGGACGTGCCTACCACTACCAGTGCTTTGACGCCCCTATGAACTCTGTACCTTTTCCACGCAGATTTTTAGCACCAACAGTTTTAATTAAGAGACACTTGTCAGTTATCCAGTCTCTTCTCTAGTTAACAGTACAGTATACGCTATTGTATTGTATTGTAACCACTACAGTACTGTCCTATACTGTAATCATGTAATTGCTGTACTGTACTGTGTATTGATTGATCCATATTTCCTGTCAGCCACACAATGGAGAAGAAAATTATTTGATACAGTTGAATCGCTTTACTTAATTGATTACTGTACTGTCAATTGGCCATCTGAACAGCATTGGCAATCGAGCATCACATCACTTCTGTATAATAATACATTGATGAAAAAAAGTGCAGTAGATAACCCGTGTTATACTGTACTGTAGGTTGATCAAAAATGGATCGATAGACCATATTTTACAAATACAGTACAGCTGTACAGGTACAGTACATGCTACTATGGTACTGTACGCATGGCGAACTTCGCATTACAGTTGTCCACAAGTCGCTTTCTCAGTCGCTATAAAATGTGAGAAAGTTTAATTCAAAAATTGCAACGATGATTATTACCGTTCCTTTATTTCATATTCATTTCTTACCAGTTATGTAATCAATATTTAAAATTAAAATTAAAACAATAAATGTCGTGAAAACTTTATTTTCGATTTAAAAAGATATGTTCTAGAACCGATCAGGTAGTTATGCCAGGTCCGCTAGTACATCACAGCACTACATAACATTCCTTGGGGAGTAGGTCATGCTACATTAAGAAACATATTCAATTCATAGGTCGCAGTAGTAATAATTCATAGATTATTGTCATACTGAATTGGTTAAAAAAAATTATGACAGAAAAGAAGTTGAGCCTAAATATGCAACAAAATTAGAGGTCAAAAATTTACAGAGTCATAATATCAGCATTCTAATAATGGTTCTGCAACGTGCTGAGAATTTAAATGGCAATAGCATGAAATCACAAACAGATTGCTACACCGTACCTTAGGAAGAAGCAGACAACGCTGCCCACAACCTTAAGTAAAAATTGTACCAAAGTGGTCAGTAGTCTTTCAAATATTATATACTGTGGAGAACTATCTCATTCAAATACCAGTATCCCGTAAATAATATAGCACCGAAAGAAAATTATGATTAGTCAATAAAATCTGCCAAACGTAAAACTAGAATTTTATACCAAATGCTACTCTAATTATAATGAAATGGGAGAACATAAATAACATAGAAGTATTTGATATTCTACCAAGCAAGCACGCGTATTCACAGCGGATTTTATAACTACTGTGACAACATTCGTCATTATCATATCTAATGAATAATACATCTCCAGGATTTGGCTAGTAGAATATCAAAAATTTTTTAAGTAAACCATAATTTTCATCTAGTTAAGTAAGAATCAAAATTTTGACCGAAATCACATATATTAAATCATTACATCAGGTTGTTAAAAATAGGTCGATAATTAATTAATAATGCAACAGGCCTATGCATTGCGATAGCCAATTATCGAATTTACTTTCATTATTTCAAACATCTTCGCAGTACAGTAAATAGTGGCTGCAGTTATACAATTCACTTATACTTCATCACCACTATAGTCATCAGAGTCAATATGATCATCATTCGGTTCAGTAGCCTGCGAAGGATGGTTCTGAGTAGGTAGCTGTTCGTGAGGATCATTTTCTTCGTTATCCTGGACATCATAATAATTTTCTGCTGATTCGTCATCTTCGTAGCGATTATTGTGCTCAATGTTGTTTGGTATAGATGATTCATAGGGACTATCATAGTTATTGGGATTCATATCATCATGTTGTGATACGTGATTAGTTTGATCTTGCAACTGGTCACTGTCGTTGCGTTCTGGTAGAACATCGTCACTTTGGTGATTAAAGTTCTCTGATGGCGATTGATAGTTTTCATAGGCTGGTATATTCTCGTCCTGTTGAGGTAAATTTCTGTCTAGATCTTCATTAATGTTGGCGTTAGCTGCTTCCTGAGAGGTACCGTTATTTTCTATTGATAAGTTTTCGATGGACTGCTGTATGCTGGGGGTAGAAGAATATCGTGCCGAAGATCTCGAAGATGTTGGCACTGAACCATAATTCGGCTCCTCTTGCGGCAGTGCTATTCCAACTTCTTGGTTTGCTGGTCTTACAGTAATAATTAGGTTTTGGCTGTTGGCTACCATCATATCAGTTACTTGATCTAGTGTCTGCAGAAACATACGATAAACGTATAACTCATCATTTAATAACCTCTAAACGATCATATACAGCTACTACATACTGTATAATACGTAATTTGGATGTGAATGTATCTATTATTGTAGCATTAATTTACAATAATAATAATAATAATAATAATGTAATAAGTCTGCAAAGTATAATTATTAAATGAAAATCGTTTACAAACAGAGGGCGATACAGCTTAGTTTCCCTGTGAAATTCAGCCGTAATCAGATCGAAAAGTAATTATCTATAAATCATTCCCCAAATTTTACTAATTTAATCTGCTAGGGTACTTTATCGTAGCATACTAGCGATAATTTGCAAGATTAGAGGGGCTGAGAAAGGTTCAGAGGTGTAAGTACTGATTTTGCGATACTTTTCTGTGAATATACAATTATGAAAATGTGACTTGTATAAGCAATTAGAACATAACAAATTTATCGCTTATGGTTAGGGGAATAATATCACGGACGCATAGAGTAGTGTAAGTACATACAGTAGTATTGGTATACATGAAAGACTCACACCTATATTAACTTTGACTTAAATATACTGGTACACATCCTATACTCAAATTACTTTATCATCATTACTAATAAACCAACTGAGCTCTGCAATATGACAGATTTCGGTAAATTTGCATAGTTCAGATTAAACAGAGATAGATTGTACAGTAATATTAACACGATATTACTGACATTTGTATTAAGGCTTATTGCACTATTAGTAAAAACAATAGAATTAGATTTTCTCGAAATTTTCATATAGAATGATCATAACTTATTGCGCAGTATTTATACAGTAGTTGAGAATGGCAGTTTCAGCTAAAGATTTTTAACACAGTTAAAGTATGGTTTTCTAGATTTTCGTTATCAAGATTACTTCAGGTAAATCTGGGAATTCATGACATTTCTAATCCTAAGTTCACAACCTCGGCGATACATTTATTTTATCGTGTCATAAATTATAATTTAAAATTACACTTAGAAACAACTGTATCTCGCTTACTTTGCCAGCGACCTCAATACCGTTGACTTCTAACACTTCATCATTAACGGCAAGTAGTCCGGTGCTAGCCGCCAGTCCTCCAGATATAAGACGTGATATGAATATTCCAGGAACTTTCTCGATGCCATTTGAAGTTACTCTGATGCTAATACCGTCACGAATATAAAATCCTAACGGTTTGCTACTGTTACCTCTAACCAATTTAACACGGCGCTGCGTTACCGGAAGAACATCAGCATCAACAATTGAAGATACTTTTCTAAAATCTGATGGTAAACTAATCTGTAATGAATTAAGTTTAGATTTCTTGTTTCCTTTATTATGAGAGTCAAAGATTCTTATCTGATCCCCTAAGGATTTTAACAATACAAAAGTTGAAAATTCAGTTTGATGACACTATTGACGCGAATTTAGTTAAGTCATTCGTATACGTTAAGACCGTTGAATAAATAAATAAATAAACTAGACTAATAGCCGGAATGAAGTATCTCTTATTAAGTAGAACTTAGAAAGCTAATATAGGATCGACATACACGAGCATAATATTGTACGCGCTTATATTGTATTGAGCCATCATAATATAAATTAGTGATTGTCATTAAGCACGATAAAGTACGTCTCTGGTAATTTTGGTCATACCTTTTCTTTGCACACATAGGCGTAGCAGAGGTTTTGCAGTGGAAACCGCTCTAGCGAAATTTTCGTTGTTATTGATTGGTAGAAAGTCTCCATGAACAGGATCGGTGTAGGCTAAAATGTAATCATTTTCTCGTAGTCTATGCATACGCATTATCAAGTCGAAAAAATCATCGAAGGAGGTAATTTGCTTTTTATCGAAAGAAAACCGGCGGAATTCCGCATCGAACTAAAATGATGCAAATAAAAAAGGACAACTAAAATCAGTATGGGTGTAGTCCATGATTGTCTAATAACATCGTTTTGTTTTGTTTGTTTTAATACTGGCCACACACAGACAGGTTTGACAAAATTCTATGTCATTACAATCAAATTGATAGGGAATGATTATCTACAGCACGCTAAAATGTACTATACTGTACTGTACATATCAAATCTATTAACTTGGAAGGTAGAGTAGTACTTTATATACTCTATTGCGTTTTAATGATTAGGCAGGCTGCGTAATAATTACTTTACGAATCGTACAGTATAATGGTTTGAAAGTTTCAACAGTATCGACTTTTTTTACATACACGACGCTTTTGATATTCAGCACTGAATTGACTAGTACTTCACTACATTAAATAACGGTACAAATTTAGAATATATAATTGATGCAATTTTACTACCAGTAGCACATAATTGGTCTAGAATAAAGTTCACCATTAACAATAAGAGAAAGCTAATCGTTCATCCTTGTACTCAAGTAGAGAAATCAGTTGACATAATATTTCGCATCATCAAGGCTGGTGAGTTAATGAGCTTGGAATGACTTATCATTATCAATAGGCTGGACCTACTTTACTTTTAATTTCTACTAAAGTAGATTCGTTTGCTGTCGTGGCTCGAGGCATTCTGTCTTCAAGTCGAGATTACCGTCACTCACTGCGTTGTTCCAACTTAGTATTATAATAAATTCTGAATCAATAACTCCATACAGGCAGCCCGAATTCCTTCTTCTACTTGCGGTATAGTCTACTGTCTACTGTCCACTGTGTACAGTATCATCCAATAAATTGGTACAACACTACACCTACACTAAAATGAGTGCGTTGTCATCAAAAGTAGATATTGTTCTTATTCTGTATCAAGAAGTTGTGCTCTTTCGATTGGAGTAAAAACTGAAATGGATAATCCTCCTTAAAAATGGCGTTGGCAATGACGATATTGGCCGAATTGACCCAAGCAATATTAGCAAACATACAATAGAATACTGTCGCTAGTGACTCACATACACTTGTTACTATATCACTTGGAACGTCACGTTGATACTAAAACAGTAAAGACGAAGAATGGAGAATCGTTCTGCCTTGGTACCGTTACAGCCCCGTTTCTCCCTACTGTATTAGTAGGGCGGCAGACGTTGACACGTACAGTACAGTACTGTACAGTGTACAGTCCCCTACAGTACAGACAGTGGACGGTTGTACTGTACTGTACACTGCACTACTGACTATCGTATTGACAATTTTACAACAAGAAGAAAAAGAAAAGAATTTCAATTTACGTACAGTACTGTACTGTAATATTCATACCGTCGATTCCGTCAATGGTCAGGGCGCGGGGACTTCTAAGAGAAAAACTTCTCTAAAAAGAGTTTTTCTCTTCCAAGTCACGAACTGTAGTAAACTGTCATGTAGTTCCAGTTCAAATGCATCCAAATTCCAACGATGCATTGAGCTGGAACTACTGCAGTTCAATTTTACAATCATTGGATTTCCTAACATGAGAATTTCTATTTGGACAGTATTTACTACCAGAAAATACGATGATGACGACAGTAGTTTGAACTTGATAGTGGTGGGGGGGGTTGGGGCTTGCAAAGCAGGTTACAGTGCGATTCAAGTTAGGTGCGATCAAAATACGACACTAGTGACATTAGTTTTGCTTACGATAGCACTGCCTCCTGTATGATTAAACACTATAAATCATTATTGCCCGTATTGAGTAAAGTTTGACACTCTGGCAAAAATGATGTCATCATAACCTGATTACCTGCTGTTACACACTGCTGACGGTGAAGACCGTGGTAGGACTACTGTACTGTACACCTACAGTACAGTACACCGGATCTGCTACAGTACAGTACGGTACAGTTAGTATGGTACTGTAGACTTCATTTAGTACTGTACTATGGTTGGACAGTCCAACTAAACTACTACTGTAGCTTACTATATTGAGTTCGGTGGAGGACAACATGTCTTCTGTGGATCTTTTAACAGCTGTAGAAGATATTCAAAGAGCTGTCAATGAACTGGAGCTAAAAGAGGTAGATGAAATTGCATAAGAAGAACTTTATGTATGAAATACTCTCAATAGAGTAGAACACTAGAATATACACATTTGTAATCATGTCTTTAAGTACTAGTTAAAAATGGCTGTACCGTAGTTGCCATCGTATATGTATAAATTCTTGTGATGAGAATGGGTTTATGCTTCTCAATGTATTATGCACATACTGTACATCGTAGTTATTCCAGTCTTAATGTATCCGAAGAGAGCTCTGCAGTGGACATGCATTTTACAGTTTAGTATTAAAGAATAGTACTACATCAATTCTTATAAATGTACAGTCCGATGGGTATTTACTGCTTTAAATTTGTTATGATTATTATGTCATATGAATGGCTATAGTAATAGATATGTCATATACTGTATACGTATATGTATATAATCGGTTTGTCGTCTGTTCATTAACCTTATTTTATCAATACGACTATACCTTGGAAAATGGTGATGACGTGACAATTACTTGAGCATATTTAATACAGTTATCGACTGATATCAAGACTGTATAGTATTTCATTTTTTCGTGACGGTATAATTTAAGGTTCTATAAAATAAATACCGAAATGTTGCAATACAAATCATGAAATGATATGATAATTTTCCTACTACAGTACTATAAATGGCACTGCACTTTCTATAGAGATGCTTTAGATTGAATTATAGACCAACTGATAGAGTATGTTAGAATATTTTTACGACATGAAGAACACACTCATACGGTGATGGAGTTGATAAATAAGCGTTGCAGTCATGTCGCCAGGAGAAATGATACAATATCATTTTAATATTAGTGTTACAGCTCTATACAGAAGTAGTATTATTCATTCATATCAAAAACGCATACTGTTTTTACAGTAAGATGAGGATATCTGCCATAACAGCGTAACATTATACCAATAGCTAACTTAATTCATTCCACACGATGTTACATCATTTTATAAAGAAATATTGTAGAATAAGTAGATACGTATATATTGCTGAAGAAAATATCAATTGTTACTAAAGCCTATATTGCATGGAATTAGTATTTATTTGGTAAAAGAATTTATTGTGGATACGTATGAATTAAAAATCCATTTTAGCACTCGTTCTATACTATAGTTCATATACCTTGGCTTGTACAGCACGAGTATGCTTTAATGATGTCGTAAGCGGATGCTAAAATGAAGTAAAATTAATCTCAATTATATAAGAAATATAACTGTTATGATAATTATTAACTTGATATACTAATTTTGATACTTAGTAGTACAGTCATTACTATTTTCTATTTCAATAATGGTGAACTGAATTAATTGAAATGATGCTCGATTGCTCTCTTATATCAATGGATCGTATTCTTACTGATCTATCAATCTTTCTAATGCTATGTCAAATGAAATAGCAACAACTCAACCAACAGTTGGACAGTTGCCTGGAAAGTCAAGCAGAAGTTTCACGAAAGCTGACATTGCTACAAGATGTTGTGTCAGTTTGATCATAAAATTATATATAAATTATTCTTTCAGTTACTAGTGGCGTAAAGCTTACATGGCGATAGTTATATAGCATAGCTAAGGTATTGTAAAGAGCACGTACAAATGATCTCTGAGGCCTTACTGTTAATTTTAATATATTATAGGCCTAAGGTTGACTACTTGATTAAGGATACGGTAAAATTGGATGGTTTGATTAAGCATACTTGTGACTTGGCTGAAAATGTTAGTAGTAAAGTGCGAAAATTGGACTTAGCTAAGGTTTGTTTTATTTTTCATCAAACAGAAGAATTACATAAAAAATTAAGAAAATGTTAAAGTAAGAGTAATTTTATGATCGGGCTTACCGGCCAGTATATACGCGTATGTATATTTTAATTTCTGAATTATTTACCGGTCAATTTCTAGTGAGTTTATTACGTACAGTGTTGTTATATAAGTACGTACTTATTCTAAGACAATATAATGTGAAGTATGACTAAGAGTTAAATACTACGTACATTACAATGCTATCTGGTACAATTTGTATAAATTTCAAAAATAGAGTACTTGGGTATTGCAACAATTTTACAAATATACATTTAAAATCCTATAAATGGCTATATACGAGTAAAGTGAAATGCTTAAAATAGCGATTAAGTCAGAAAAAGGAATTCAGCATAATGTATGCTATATTTCTTTGCAGAATCGTGTAAACTCGGCCATGAAAAGAGTCGATGACGTTTTAGATTTAAAGGTATGTTTAATCGTAAAATTTATTATTATCAGATTTTGCTATCAACGCTATAATGTGCATGATGCGAATTAACTATGGCACACAGCTTAACTATATAAATCGTCGATTAACTACTATTGAATGTATTGAGATAAATATTTAAAGTAAACATTTATGTAATTTAACTAGAACTGTGTTGATGGCGTACAGAATGCACTAAAGATAGAAGACTATGAGCAGGTTTAGTAAAAGTTGCCTATTTCTTATGTTGTCAATTCTAATGTACACGTACAACGGAATAAAATTTAAGTGAAATAGAAAGATATTTGTAATTAAACTTTAAACTCTATAAGGCTGCTGCCCATATTAACCGATATCTGAGTCTCGATGAGAATCTTGTCAAAGCTACAACCGTTGACAGTGCTGAAGGTATACGATTAAATGTCGTTTTATTAATGCCTGAATTGAAGAAGAGTTCTATAAATTCTGTATCCTATAATCTTGATACATCATAATAATGCAGAGGGCAGTGTTGGTGGTGCATTTCATCTCCTTCGTGAAGCGGAAGAGCATTTAAAAGGTATTGTCAATGAGAAATTCGATACCGCGGTCTCTTCTAACAACACCGTGGAAGTGGAAAGGTAAACTAAATTGCTTCTGTATTAATGAAAAGAAATTCATATATTATTTGCTTAAATTTGAATGTGTGCATATTTGATACAGGTTTCTTAAAATTTTTCCGTTATTGGGTATGAAAGAGAAGGGAAAGAGAAAGATATCCCAGTATTTGAAATCGCAGGTAGTTAATTGAAGATATTAATATGTAATCTATCTAAGTCATATCTCGGTGAAACGTAGAAGTATTTGTGGTAGTCAGATTTATGTCTGCTGTGCTATTTATGTTTAGATATCAGATAACTATAAACAACATATAGAAGGTCTGGCTTCTACTGTTACGAATGGTATGCTCTTTGATTCCTTTCAGTACTCAATAAAGAAAGTCTATAACGACTAAATGATGCCAAAACTATTTTCTAGATCAACGAGAAAAGATGATATATGCCGATATGCTAATGAAACTATACGAATTGATTGCGAAAATAATTGAGAAATACCAGCCTCTTGTGGAAACATATTATGGTATTACTGTGTACATACCAATTCTTAATTTGACAATGAAGATACTAATATATGCTATACGCGTAGTTTATTGTATTGATGTTTATTCAATTCTTATGTCGTTTAGGTCTTGGTAACATGATACCAATTATTCAGGCAATTCAGGTTTTTACATAGAATTCTAATAGCAATTTGTATTAAAATTAGAGTTTGGTTAGCGTTGCTGAACATTTCTTTAATTTGATCAATTATCAGCGAGAATGTGATAATCGTGCATCTATGATTCTAAAAGCATTTGAAAATAACAGAAAGTTTAATTTGACGGTTGGCAAGCATTTCTAACGATATATATTGTTTAAATTATATTCTGATACTTTGGGTGGACTTTTTTATGTTTACTAAAAGGTTCTTAGTATTAAAAGATCGTCTAAAAGCGTTCCCGATAGGGTATCTAAGAATCCTAATGAGAGGTTAGCCCGACATATTTATGTTTGGTCTATATTTCATTGTGAAAGTATCGTGGCAGGGTTGTATTCAAGTGAATCAAATGATTATTCTTATGAGCTACAAATTCTTTAACTTAGATTTGATGTGAGGGAATTTGATGTGGTATTAAACGAAGTCGCTGCTATGAGCCAAAGAAGTGAACTATATTTTTCATTCATACGAAAATATTTACAGGTGCTTTGTTAATAGTTTAACATTGTTGGTAAATGTCATTCGCTTAATATAGCAATTTTTGTTACTATATTACGTAATTAGAGCGCAGCGGAACTGGATGGTGTTGAATCTAGAGGTACTCCTTTAATAAACTAGGATGAAAGATTCGATTTAATAGTGCAGTTCATTGAAGATTGGATTTATTTTTTAGAAGCTGATATATCATTAATAATTCGTGATTGTGAACTAAGTCATAAAATGCAGGTAAAGTAATTTATAATTGCGGAGATATCACTAGTAATGAACGAAGGTATGAAATAAAGACTGTTATGGTTAAAAATTCAGGCTATCATTCTTTAGTCTGATAATTTTGTGCAATTTAATGCCATTCTGATTTATATCTTATTGGAAGTAACTTTATGCTCAACAATTAGGATCTAATTGGAAATTATATTGCGTTAGAAAATTTTTATATGCAGGAGATTACTACTAAGGTTTTCATATAATAGCTGTTTATATAAAATGCTGTCGTACTTTAGATTATATTTATTATATGTATGATATCAAAATAGGCCGTAGGACTTTCTCAATCTTACGATAATATCACTGGCCCGGTTACATCTAATTATGTAGATGATATTTTCTTCATTATAAAGAAATCTATACGGTAATCCTGCTACTATCTTTGTATTCGTACAATAACTATTCATTAAGCAAAAATAATCATTTCAGCAATAAATTTTTTGGTCTTTTCAGGAGATCATTATCCACAGCTAGTACCGATGGCATTGGTGCAATGTTAAATAATGCCGCGTGAGCGAATCTAGATATATAAGAGATCTTATTGGTAGAAGGATTTTACGATCATAATATTTATTGCTTCGTAATTCTGCTTGATTCCGTACATTAGAACTTTGTTAACGAATTTTTTTAATGGCATCTTAAGTGGAAAAATAAAATCTAGTTTCATAGCTGGAAGGTTAGCTGCAAAATATTTTAGATTATTGATCAAATTTTTGTATCTTTGGGTAATGTATAGCATTCTATATTGCTTCTGATAATACAGTAGCATAGATTTAACAGGAATGTTGCAAGGAAAACTTCAACCTGCGTTGACTGAAACTATTAAAGTTAAAAACTCATATCTGGTAAATTTTTGAATTAGCAAATTCCAATTTAGGATGGTTAATTTGATGGAAATCTACTTCAATGACATAAATTTAGGTTACGTTGAATGATGCTGAAGTCACATCTGAAAATGTCATTAAATTATGTAAAGATTTAGAGGTTAAGAATACGATGAAAATGCTAACGCAATATCTTTGTAGTACATTATTAATTAATTTTATTGTTCTTATTGCTGAAGGTTGATTTCCGTACCTTTCTTGATAAATTGGATGATAATTCTCGACATAAAATACAGGTATGCAATTTTTCAGGCGTTAATATCATTACTGCAGTTGTGTGATGTGGATGACTGTAGACCAGAAATTTGAAATAATTTGTAATTTGCCCGTTTTTAGAGTTGTTTAAACGATTTACGTGACACAAGTGATGTGTTCAAGGCTATCGTAAATGTAAGCTTTATTACAATCTTGAATAAGATCTTATTATGTAGCTAAATTGCTATTACAGTTGAAGGTCACCGTTTCTGAAAGTCATTTCATTTCTTCACATTTGTATTATAACAGAATGGAAGTACTCAACTGTGTGTATCGGTAATAATGCCAAAAATTAAAGTACATATCGATGGTTTCACGTCTGCCAGTCACGATATTACTGAGGTTTGTTCAATTTAATAGATAATAAAATTAAAGTTTGACTTTTCAAAAAATGTGATTAATTATGATGGTAACTAATATCTTTCTATAAAAATTTCTTAGGAGACATTTAATAATTATGAATTAAATGATCCTTTTGTACAAAATCTAATCTCTTGCATATCGCAAGACATACAAAATTATAAGGTGAGAAGTGCTATGCCTTAGATATGACAAGATTAGTTAATCATTCGAAACGTGTACTCAATTATTACAATACGTTTATTAATAAAATCTTGATAGGAACATTTATCGACAGCAAATTTTGATCTTTTGATCAGTTTACTAACAAATGAAATCACCACTGAATTAGAGAATGCTATTTTCAGATCTACATTCAACAGGGTTAGATGCTAGAGAATCCATTAGTATCAAAAATTTTATAATAATTATTTATGCTCCTTCAACATAGGTTATTACAGTAATACTGTAGTTATGTTTATAGATATACGATCATTGATTTTCATATTTACGCTATAATTAGCTTGGTGGACTGCAATTCGATAAAGAACTCCGTGCTCTAGTGTCGTTTTTAACTTCTGTTACTCAGTGGACTATAAGAGACAAATTTGCTCGCCTATCGCAAATAGCTATTATCTTGAATTTAGAAAATGTAAGATTGACATCTTAATTTGTTGCCAAATTAAGCAATATTAAAAGTGTTCGATTACGCCTAATTCTACGCTGCGATTAGGCGAGTTTCGATAGTACTGGAACTCATTTAGTAAATGTTTTTCTAAACAGGTGAATGAAATCTTAGACTATTGGGGCGTTAATGCTGGTCCACTTGCATGGCGATTAACACCTGCAGATGTTCGCAACAGCTTAATGTTACGGTAATAGAAACGAATCCTTATTTCGTTCATTGGTAGACTCCATTATATGTAAATAGTTCACTGATGTATCATTTGTGCGTATAATTATTTATGTTTTTTCCTTTTTTTAGAGTCGATTTCAGAAGGGAAGATATAAATCGTATAAAATTATAAAGGTGTTCAAATTTACTAACATATGAATATATTGCACGCGTAAATGCAAGCTAATGAAACTTCAATAGAAACATTTTCTTATTTAATACATGATTAATTACGTATTAATATTCATAATGTTCATATTTAAATTTACGCAGCTATTCTCATACATTGCTATATTGCAATACAAACTCTAAATCTTCAATAAATTGCAGTTTTTGATGTTAAATTTGGTGTATTTGCACCTTTGCATACTTACTAAGGGAATTTGAAAGATGCTGTTAATAGATTCTTCATAAAGGTGCATCGATAGTGAAAAAATGAAACTACTGTAAAACTCAATGATAAAAGAGTACTATTTTAGTTTGATGATCTAATTAATACTGTTTTTTAGTTTAAGAGATTCTTAGTTGCAGCTATTAAAATGTACTGAGCAATTAGAATGTAGCATTTGTAACTTCGTACGATGTTTATTCAATTATTGCATGTTAACTAAACGTTAACAATTGCAAACGCGGACGCCAAAGAGGAATACCTTCATATTTATAGATTTACATAATACTGCATTATGCTATATCGTTTAACTTTGAAGAATTTAGTATAAGAATAAGATAAAAGAATTCGTTATTTGAGTTATTTCTTTTGCATCATTCATAAACAGGCTAAAAATATTTTAGTATAGTCATTGATTTCCAATGGGTGAATTTTATTTTCTACTCGCTTAGACAGAGCTCATATTTTTACGAGAAGTACTCCTTTCAGATTTCCTAAAAGAAGAACGATAGAAACTACCATAAATATGCATTCGTCAAAGCCATATTGCACTTATCGTGTACAGTACAAAATAGTACAAGCTATAATACTGACCTTGTTGCGGAATTAAAAACCCAAGATATGAAGGCATTTTTTCGATTTTTTGTGAAGGCAGTTCTTACCTACGTGAAAAGAATGTATTAATTTTATGTTATCTATATACTTATATACAAGAGGTGAATCGAAACCAGTTATCGAATATTGCATCCATCTAGGGCAAACATTATTACTTTTAATATCGAAACCGTAGAAAACGTGATGAATTTGCCAATAAATTCTTAGTAATTTAATTTATAAAGTAGCATGAAATACCGTTCCTGAGTTACAAAACGAGTACGTTATCATAGAATACCTCTCAATGACGGTATATTATTAATGGCAATGTACAGTAGAGCTCGTATGGTAAAGTGATAATCATAAAAGAAGATTACTAAAATAGACTCGTAATTTTTATTAAACACGTAAATAAATCCGAGTGGGCTATGCACCAATCGTACCATGATCATTTCACATAACCTTAATGGGCAGCAAGAGTTTATGTTAAAGATGATTACAAATACTGTACTATATACGCGTGTTATATACAAAATTTTTGATGATCTATCTTAAGCAGATGAAATGTAATTTGTAAACAGGTACTGATTTTTGTCTCATTGATTTAGCAATACAATGGTGAGAATATCGTCATACCCGTATATATCAAAAATTAACAGCTCGTATTCAGTTACGAGGATTAATATATAGAGGTAATATATGAACGATTTAAACCCGAATAAATAAGAACTTTTAAGTCGAAGTAATTAATTAATTACGCACAATAGTAACCCCTTTTGTGATTTATTATATGAAAATATTGTCGTAGATATTTTAATGTATTTTATAGTCTTCGATAACTATATGCAGTATGATCATAATCGAATATTGTAATTATACTATACTGCAGATAAATGCATGCCATACCAATTTTGACTAATACGACCTACTACCTATATTAGTATGTCTAATCACAAGCTCGATCTTAAACGAAGGTGTACGAGCATCTGTGTAAATTATGATCGTAACGTTGCATTATGTTAAGAGTTATATATATTCGTTTACAGATACACATCAGGTTTTAACAAAAATGGAAGGGTCGAATATATTTATATCATGCCTGGTATAGTGCTGTGTTAAGCTCTATGGCTTTGTATGCATTTATTCGTCTTAGCTATCATTTGAATTTTGATAGCCGATTGCAATGAAATTTATGATATAAATTATTATAAAGTAATGATTAAATATTCCTGATACTATCTATATTGGTTGTTACAGTACGCAAAGTAATTATAAAATGATTTACGTTCAGAAACGAGAAATATATATGCAAAAGCTTAAGTTTAGGAAGAAAGAATATACGATGACATTTTTACCTGAGGGTTTCTGAAACAGTACAGAATGAAGATCAAAAAGCCCTGAAAAGAAATTTCGGAGTCAATCATACAGGTTGATATTAAGATGATATTAAATACTTAATTAAATAAAATCTATAGCATTGTGATGATTTCAATTCGATAATGAAAGATGCTATCTCTCAGTAGAAGTATGAACATTGCTAATTACCTGTAGTGAGTTTGCAATTGCAAACAAGAATTGAAAGACGATCAAATCATTATTGAAGGAGAACAGACCTATAATCCATGTAATTCCTAGTAACGGTGTCAACACTAACACACCCTTAATTGCAGTCCTGCAACACATAAAAAATGGGCCGAGAAAAAAGTAAATATTAGATGTTTATTTATAGTTTAATATTTCACTGGACGTATTCTTTTGAGGTGGTTTAATACTATAGGCTCTTTCATTTGTTGCAGTCAAATTATAGTGGGATTATCATAGCATTAGAATAGTACGATAGCAGAAAGTATATTGCGATAATAGTATTGTTTTACAATAATCATCAGCAGTTATCGAAGATAATAAGACGGATATAGCTTTACTTATTGTACTAAATTCTGTTTTTACTCTTATAGCATACGACGTACCTTGCCTTAACATATTTCTGCTTTGATGACTGAATTTTCTTTGTTGATAAAGCAGCTTTGACTGTCATAATCAATACTATGGTATTTAGCTGCAAGTAATTAATATGTTTATAACCGAATAAATAAAGTATGTAAGAAAAAGTATAACATTATAGAAATGAAGACAGGAATAGATAAGAAATTACTAGAATGATAGTAACAGCTGGTCCAATAAATGCTACTATTATTGGAGGATTCACCGATAACCAACACCTGAAAACGATCAATGAAACTTTAATTGCCGATTCTGTAACTCAGCACCCTGCACTTACACTCATAAACGTTACTTATACACTTAAATGTCTCGGAAATAAAAAATTACGATAAGGTTACAACTTATAATATATAATCTCTTACTAGATGTCAATTATTATATTTATGAAGTCTATGCGGTAGATTGGCTGCCTTTTATACGAATATTAACTTGTATATAGAGATTATAAGATTTAATTATTAGCTGTAAATGTATTTCAGATAATATATAACTGAATGGATACGGTACTGGGTGGTATACTTCACCATCAAATATCGATTTCAAAGTCCATTAAAGTATTATATTCATATATGGATTAAAATTCTAGTTTCTTTTCAAGGTTCATTTAGATTAAGCATGAATTATTATCAGTTTGCGACTTAAAATGGCTGTCGCATTACAGAAATAGTATAAAATGATTATGATGATTGAGATAATCTCTTTACTTACGCATATTTGTTTGTATAGTATTTTAGACCCAATGTTGAACCAATAGCAGCAATAACAATAGTGGCCGTTAGCAGCGGAAGTCCTAGCAAAAGTATTGATACATAGTTTTTTTATTAATTTAGAATATCAAAATAATTAACGGAAGCTGAGTATAGTTGTTAAAAAAACTTATCAATATAAATAAACCTTGTAGTAAAATTGCAAATTAACGACGTCTCTATGTTGCTGTCTGCCTCAATTAAAGCAATTTTATCGAGTTGCTATCATAACACTCAGATTTGTAGCTTAGCTCACCGTAGGAAAGTGCGATGTAGTAGCGTAATTTAGTCATTCGGTTACTAAAAACGTCGTTGACCATAAAGTAGATATTGGCAGCTTCCATCAACATCCACATGAACGCCGATAGAAACAGGAAATGTAGCGTAAATGCTACAGCAATGCAGAAATTCTAATAATGCGCGTATAACAATAATTGATGGTAAGAGTTTAAAATAATAAGAAATATCACAGTTGTGTGATCTAACTTAAGCTTAAAGTTAATGTAAATAGCCTATATCTAGCGAAGATCATTATTGGTCAATTTTTCCGTTAATATAAAAAAACTGGGTTTAATCTAGCTGCAACTCAGATAATTGACATTTTTTTATAACATCTTACCGTACTGTTAACCTTATCCAACCCAGTTAACAGAAGTAAATTTGCCAGTAGCAATGTTAAAGATAGATTAAGATGGAATACAGCTTGGACTCTTTTAAGGTATCTATATTGTATTATAAGGATGGTTACTATTAAATCACTTACTATGTACATTAATGTAGATGTGGATGTAGAATAAAATCGTCAAAATTAAAATAAGACTCTTTACCGCCATGTATATATAAAAACAATAATTGTGATTGTTAATGCGGTAATTGATAAGGAACAACCAACAGTAGTAATAATAGTAAGAGCCCTTGCAATGGTTTCTGGTACCTATGTAGTAAATTTACTAAGATTAGTGATTTAAGGATCCAATATAAGAACATTTAAAGTCACTCAAGTTGTCTCTAATGATTTATACGACCTTTTCAGGTGAAAGACTCATTAATATTGCAAAATTCGTCAAGTGGTAACATTTACAAATGGTGACGGTGTCGTTGAAATAAGCAGTTTCACATCCTTCAGTTGACCAATCACCAGATCTAGATGAACTATTAAATTATATTGGTTAATTTTAATAAACTATACTGGCTATACTATAGCAATGTCAGAATTCATAACCCGTATTTTATGTATACATATTCTGCTTCTATATTCTAAATAGTACAGAAATATTGAAATTGATACGATATCACAAGCAAAGATTTTTAATTAGAATATAGAGATTAGGGTTCGATATTTACTTCAAATTCTTATCCCAGAATACACAATCCACTTTCTCGAAACGATCTTTAGTATAAAGCTAGATGTTGAAATAAAATGTAGTAGCAAATTAGGCGGCACGCTGTATTTTGAAACAGTTTCATCTATAAAAACTGTCTGAAACCATCACGAGCTATTTACTGTATTGTGAGACAAAGTAATTTCCACAGGTTCAGCAAAATTGTCGTGTTGAGGTGCATCAGTGGTACTTGAAATGATCATAGAGTTAACGCACGTTTTTACGTTCCCTAAGTTTTGGCTACAGGTCAAATTTATAATAAAGAATCCCAGATCACTGATTGTTTATATATGAATAATTTTTTATCTAATTTGTTTTGAAGATATTAGATAAAGCGATCTTACACATAAACATAATATACCTATCATCGCAAGCTACACTGTTTGGCAGAAGCCTATTTAGTGATTTATAAGCTGCGTTAACAACTGTGACGGATTTTCTATCACCTAAATGAAATAAGTCAAATACCAAATATTACTAATTGGGTACTTCTAATAATAACTTATGTACTACAGTGATGAAAATTTATAATTCATTATTTTCAATTACGGAATAAAACACACTATCACGTATACGACTTTCATTACATAGTAGCAGTAGTGAGATATTTACTATTATTTAGGAATAGCTCCCGTGGTAATTTGATGCTTGCCATTTGAGTACTATCATCCTTAGAAGGATTAGTAAAAGTTACAGTGGAATTTTCTCCTCCCGGAATCGACTGAACCTGAAAGACTGATAAAAAATGTAGCAAGAATCTACTATTGAGATACGATTTCATCGTTAGCATGACATTGAAAACTGTATTGATCACAGAAATTAAAATGTGAATGATATGTGCTTGTATTCAGCAGTAGATATTATCTTATGTGTAGCAGTTATTCACATACAAATAAATATCTTATTAGAATAACAAGCTCATTTTCCGGAAAGAAAGCCCTTACCTATGTTTTCTGTATCGATAGTTACATTTTTATTGACAGTTATATTGATATTGAATCCAAATTTTTCTAAATTTTCAGTCACCGTCATCGAACCTACTTGTTTCTAATTGCCAAATCATAACGTAATAGAAAATATAAAACCTTCATTAAATGATACAATCTTCTACTTATGTAATAGAATAAAAGTGAATGATAATCTAAACAAATTATTTTAAATTAGTTGAAACGGTTGTGCTGCGCGATTTTTAGTCCGCAAATAATTATCCGCCTCGATAAGATAGAGTAACATTTGATATTTTGTAACACGCAAATGACTTCAAGGTAACAGCAACATTTTATGATTTGTATTAGTACAAATTCTACTCGGAATTTTCACGAAATGTTGGCTATTACACTCTCTTACAGCTCATTGAAATGAGCTATAAACTTGTACGATTAATATAACTTCTTAAAACCTATACAAATACTGGCTTAAATGGATCGTTATCCTGATTATAAACCCATCTTCTAAGAGTTTCATCAGAAAAATTTTAATAATCTTGAATTAATCATTTAATCATACTGTAATTAAAATCTAGATGGAGATTACCTTCTGAACGTTTTGCCAAGCAATCGAGTTCTTGAGGTTCAAAACATTATTTGCAACTTTAACCATGTTCTATCATCAACCAAATAAATGTAATAAAGTAAGGGTCTTTATCAATTGAAAGAACTTTGAATATTTGCCTAAGGTAATGTAATTTAAAAGTGCCACTCAATCATAAACTTTAAGAACTCACATCGCTCTCTTCTAAAGGAATATCATTTTTATTGTTTCCAGAGTCAGCAATCTTTTTCATTATTGAATTGGTCGCGATTAGATCGCCACCCAACATAGAATTCGAAGACTCAGTAATATTGACAAGTTTTCTAACGGCTCCAGCAGCAGCCTCTACGGTCAAATTCTTATCCGTCTGTAATCAAGTTTACTTGTTCAATACAATTACACAAATTTCAAGATCATTTATAATAGATAAAAGTAAGGACATTCTACAATACTTTCGAATAGCAACAGTAACTAATTTGTGTAAATTATAAAGTACTACAAGCATAATTATAATATTCTTGGACATATACCTGGGATAGCAGTTGCGCGAACTCGGCTGATACACAATCGGTAAAATCTGCATCACCAAATAGAATCTCTCCATCCGACCGTTTAATGCATTCACGGACAGCAACGCCTACAGATTTTATCATTAGCCATTATAGTGATTGATATTAAGAATGACTTTTGGATATTACAATAGCGCAATATATTTTAACCGATATTATGCCTGATGATTTATTAGTTTACAATGACAACGTGGATGTTAAACCATACTAGTTTAAGTACTCGTATATCTCAGTAACTATTACCAGCAGCTCCTGGAGGACAATTTGAGGAAGCCTTTTCCCCTACCCTGGTCAGAGGCCAAATTACTCTATCTTCCTCTAACGGTTGGCATACTTCTTTGACAGCTTATAACACAAATGATTAACCGAGACATCTGGTCACAGTGATGTTTTGCTATATAAAGCTAGTAGCTTTTGCATTGTCAAACTATATCATAGCAATCAGCAATACCTTTACTTAAGGTGGTTATCTTAGTTTTAATTGATGAACCTCCAATTTTATTGCTCGCTTCACATGTTATGTTTACAGGCTGGGCAGAAAATTGGATCGCTATTATACTTAATTCTGATGACAATTTTTCATATTTTATAATATATTGACGGCCTATATTTTAAATGTTCGGTAATATGAGTCAGTAGAAATCGAACAAAATTGACGAAACATATATATCGAATAATGATGAATGCAATACTCTATTAATTTACAGTATAATAAAAAATGCATTTTTGAATTGTTTGATATGTTTATTATTTGTTATAGACTAGTTTGATTAAAAGAGCTAAAACTCAAAATGATACTTGTATAATATAGCTCATCTCATACATACTGTTAAAAATTTCCTCTCCATTAATAAACCAGCTAAACTGGACTGGCAATAAAACTTTAGTAACACCTGGAACGTTGTTATTAACATCACAGCGGACAGTAGCAGTTTCACCTTCAAAAACGGTTGCAGGGTAAGACTGAACAATGGGACGCCTAATTTCAGGATTATAATTTACTTTAACTTGAATTTTATCTACTCTGTTCATCGATTTAATAGCACATGTGTAAATTTCGTCATCTATTTCCTCAAATTGATGAATAGTCAAAACGGTATGATTTTCTCCATGGAAAATATCGATTTTATTAGGCACATTATGCAATTGTGTATCTCCTCTCCACCACGTCAATTTGCCATGGCGTACTGGCTGTGTTTGGCAGCGAAGATTAACAGTGAAACCCTGAGCTACTTCAAAATTTTGCACGGGGACATATATCGCATTCCAGAAGTCAAAGATGGAAATATTTTTTTCTGCTTCATATAAATCTATCAAGTATTTATTTTCAAATGTTAGATTCCATAAAATATTATTGTATCGGATAGGATAGAAATTTTATACCCATTTATAGTAGTATACTGCATATCCAAGGAGGGCGATCAATAACTTACCGTAAATCTCTTGATATCCTATGCTATCAATATTGACATAAATGCCATTAATTTGCGTAGTTCTGTCCCTTCTGGTTAAATCTTCCTTTCGTACTTCAAATGGCGTTAAAGCAATAAAGTTTATGATGACTGTCTCACTATGAAAAATAGTATAATTAACGCATATAATATTATTAATGAATGCATTTGGCGTTACCTTATAGTGCTGACTTTCATTTAGTAAAAGTTATTAATAGTGCTGGTGCAATGTAATAGGACTCAACTTAATGAGGTAGATTAATCCTCAAATACTATTTCATTCTGCTGGTTTTTCTAATAGCTAAGTAAGGTATCAAAAGATTCTATCTAACAACCAGAGATATGTATGTAACCTATGTTATATATATGCATCATATACAGTTTATTTTTTAAGTAATAGAATAGTTAACTACCTGAATAAGCACCACAGATAAAGTAAATCTGCTTTCTATATAGTATTTTTGTAACTACGATGGCTTAAAAGTGTAGGAACGTGGACGATAATTCTACTTACGAGTATATCTAATACATTTATTGAACATACTTACGTTGGTATAATCTGATAATTATCTAATTTACAAAATAGAAAATGAGTTTTTCTAGAACATAAGTCGCGAACCTAATGAAATAGAACGACGGTTAAATAATTCTATAAAAGAAGTTAAAATGGATACAATTGATTATCTTTCAATAAGAATGATTTGCTCGTCTTATAGCATTTTTTTATGCTCAATATGCTATAGAGGCTTACGATAGCTTGCATATGAATCAGCGATGCTTTTTCTACCAATACAGAACTTGATACTTGTGAGACTCCATTAAAAATCCTTTGTTCTAAAGTAAATGTCGAAAGATCTTATAACCAGCGTTCTACGTGTTCAGTATACTTGTCTATTCCTCTATTCTAGACTTACTTTTGACGTAAATTCGAGCAGAGGCATTATTGTCTTTATTGGTACTAGCACAAATATAGTCTCCTACTTCTTTGGAACTTAGAGAATCAACACGTAGGGTTGCAATGGTGCAATTGATATCATCCAGACAATTGGTTGTATGTTGATCTAAGTGAACAGGTCCTTTTGAAGGAATAACATGATCATCTTTCATCCATTGGACTGTGAGAGGTTTAGCGCCAGATACGGCACAATGCAATGTTAAGTTCTCCCAATATAAAATATTCTTTCCCCGAATATAACGAATGACTAATAAGAAAATGGGAGATAAGAACGTAGGTGTTTAAAATGTGAATATACTGTAATTTAAAAGAGCATACTAATTAATCAAAGTTCCAACAGCCTATCCTAATAGTAGATTCTATCATGGCATAAAGCAACAGCGCAATATAAAGACAAAGTGTAGACAGACAGCGATCATGATCCATGTCTAGAAATATTACGCACTAAATGGACGAATGGATTAAATTATACCTTATAGCTATCGATTGCAAATTCCAATACTGACCTGGTGGATCTGGTACTTGGCTTTGAAGTTGAACAAATCCGAGTAGAAATGCTAGCTAAAGTAGTGATATAAAAATAATTTTTGTCAACTCTTGCAATCATTCAATCGTTAGCTGCATACTGGATTAAGAAAATATTATTTTTAAATAGCTAAGACACACAGTAGAAACAACTTCGCAATTACATACAGTACATGATTGAAACTGTTGATTAAAATTGGTGGTAAAATAAGAGATAAATCATCGTAGTATGTATTGGATTATGCAAACTGTCCGAAATCGAGATAGCCTATAGCAGAATCTCTAGTCTACGCCCATGCAGTGAACTCGATTTGATATACAGTATTAAAATCCAATCCATTATTATTTATGCACAGTATGTCAATATTGCTAATATAGCTTAAATATTCTATCATTAAATTCGGCTATTAAGGGTCAATAAACTTCATGTTAACCGCCTCATGCATCAGAATTATCGTTGTTATAACTGCAGTTATTGCCAACTCTTTCTTTCAAATTGGAATAGAATCAAGTTATCACACCATTTTCCCCTTGATTGTAAAAACGGAAAGTGTTGCTTGTATAACTTTGGATGCAATTTTATGACAGGGAGTTTTATACCTAAAACGTTTTGGTCTATTCGGCAGTTATGTAGATTCTCCATAACGGAGTCGAGGGATACATAGCAGCAATTAAAACAAAACAGCATACAAGTGTAAGAATATTACATACGCAGACAACATGGAGACGATTTACTGATAAACAGAAAATGAAAAGTAACAAGGCCAATTTCAATTGCTAAAATCACTAAAATTCATACAAAATTGGAAATTGTTATTTTTACGTTAGTATGTACTGTAGTTCCTGTCAAGATGGATTCATAGAGGACCATGACAAGTATAATATCCTGTGGTCTTATAGAGAGCTAGCACAAGGTGATGTGTAAGAGATAGACCTTTATTAACAAGCAGGATGAGAGAGAAGAAAAAGGTAGAAAAAAGAAAAGAATGATCCAGTAAGCGAAGAAATGTCAACATATATTATATATATTTACTGTATGCAAGTATAGTGCCAATAAACGTCAACCTGTGATTGGCCAGTTTATTAGGCTAAGACATATTAAGTATGTGTATTTAGCACGAAAGTCAGTAATATACTACGAGATATATGGGAACAAGTATCCTATTAGGAGACCATCACGAAATAGAGTAAGTCCAGGTAAATCGAGCTGCTTATGTGCCATCAGTCAACGACAAAACTTGATCACCGTGTATTTTAAACTAACAATACTGTAGCTAGCTTTAGCAAACCGAATATGGTGTAGAAAGCATGTTACCGTAGTATGCCATTGCCGTGATGATAAGAAAATGAGGAAAAATTACTGGAAAGGTAGAATTGTACAGCAAGCTCTCGGCAAGTGGTAAATTCCCCTGAGCCATAAATATTGACTGTTTTGCTTGCGATGAACGATTCAACGATATAAACAAATATGGTTGTCTTAGTAATGCAAGCAGGGATAGCAATCAGTGATTAAGAACAACAAGTATCAAATTAAATCAAAAATAAAGGATAGGCCAGTGCACTAAAGCGGCACCATTCCAAGAGAAGAGAGAAGGCAGACAATTAATTAACAGGATCAGAAAAAGCGAGTAAATTATTGTGATGGCGTTATTGTAGCCATGGTATAGCCATAGCGATACAATAAACGAATGGAAGGTATAGCCATGGATTACTTAGTAGCCCTGATACAGCATCTCTGTAACATGATCTGTTTGAGACACCGTTGTGCTTTAAGGGATAAATTACAGTATACTGTACAATATTGCAAATTGAACATGGAGATTGAAAGAATGCAATTAATTATTGATTATTTTGAGACCGAACTGTTGATCTATTCGGTTATATTAATGGCGTGACTAATTGCTCCAAAGTGTTATAATATTTTAAGAGGGATAAATACGTTATACGGGTATTTCTAATAGGAAATCGATTCTTATTCATGCTGTATCGATGAAATTACTATGCTAAAAACCTCATAAAGAACGTAACAGAACTTAATGTAAGTAAAAAACAAAAAGGGAGAGAGGGGAGGGGAAAGATTTGTTCTGATCTCCGTGTTCGGCTGTGAATTTCGTTGCGCCTCTTTCACGGCGGTTCGAATGTCATCAATGATTCTATATCATTCTTGTCGATAATAAATTGGGGGAGAAAATGGCGGTAAAATTACTTCGCGATAGCCACTGTGGGCTTGCCAATTTAAATTAGAGGCAAGTAGGAATGACTAAACCAAACAAAATATGGTTTATATCAAGAGCAATCGATCTCAAAGTATTAGGTAGGAGGAAAGAAATTTACTGAAGTCCTACTGACGTGGTTTTATTTCATTATCAATGAATAACTTTTATTGCTAGCAACCCCCAAAAGAAGCAACTCAAAGCATAATTACCTCGAATTGAGCGCCTAATTACTTCAAGACAATCGATCATCCCTTCAGTTGTGAATTTCATCAAGTTTAGTTATTACTACTTAATTTAAAATATAGCAGTTTGATAGCAGACTAGACTAGAGTAAACGGCTGTTAGAAGCATAGAAGTTTAAAATGATTCCAACACAGACTGTTGAGTGAATTGTATCCAAGTATTGCGATCTGTGCTTAGTTAGGCTGTTCATGGATTTTTTTTCTTTTATATTCCTATATAGCTAAGCAATCTAAAATAGAGCAACATGAAAGGAGGCTTGTTATGTTTTCTCTCCCTTCACACTTATTTACGGTAGCCAACAATGCATTAAAGTAGATTTCAAGTTATGAGATCTCCACGTTTATTAATTTTCTTCATCAAAAGACATAATGGCTTTTAGATCCCTTTTGAAATCTATCTTAAGTTTACAGTAACAACGCATATCTGTTAGTGATTGTTGTATGATACCGTAATAAATAATTAATTAATTGAAAGTTAACGGCTTTCCGATTTACCACATCGTTTTTTTATCGTATTAATAAACATTAAATTAAAATGAATAAGGAAGTATCCTCCCTATTAGCATAGCTGTTCGATTTCTGTAATTGATTAGCTTTTATAATCTTCGATACTAATCTCAGTTGCATAGCGTACATCCGTGTATTATATCACTCAGCCTATTAATGTTAATATCAGTATGCTTAAAGCCATAACGTTCGTTGGTATCTAACTTTTTATTGTTAATGCCTTGAATAGCTCCTAGCGCTTAGCTCTTGGCAATTCGCAATCCAGCGATTTTAATAAAATTGGCCTTTGTTATAGTAAAAAAATATCATGAAGAATGGAGGATGTATAGTATTGGACTAATTAATGCTATTCTCAATAGTAGAGTCCTAGAAACTATTACAGGTGGACCGTTACTGGGTTTTATTTCCGTCGGAATTCTACTATCACTTACTATTCTCTGATTCTATTGGATTTATTCCTAAATTTGAACTTGATCGAGATACAAAAAATAGTAAATTTGTCAGTGCTTGCATTAATCTTGACCGCTAGCCTCAAATCCTGTGTAAAATTAATAATTTATGATCGAAAATGATTAATGAGTCTTTCTTCGAAAATCTGTTAAAATCATAGCTAGCGTGTAATGCTTCATTAATTTCTAGAAATACTGCAATATTCATGACTAGATTGAGTATTTACGAAGTCCTTAACGAAACAATTTGCATGTCTTGGTATTTAGATTGGAAAAAAATTGACGAAAGTTATACGATATTTCTTCACGCGGTTATTGTTGTAATAACATTGAAAACCTATTTATGCCAGCGGATCTCAATTAAATTAATAAAAAGATTAGTCATTTTTTTCTGGATTTCTTTCTATGAAACGCTGTCTAGCGCAGTTCCTTCATTGTCAATTTCTTAGTGACTTTTACTTTAGATCAGTTCTAGTGGACTAGTGCCGGCTGAGAGGTAGGACGATGATGTTGATAGAATAGAAGTTACTTTCTCACTTTTTGCTCCTACTTGGAGTTCAATTCTAGTCGGTAATGGCCTTAAAATAGCCAAACAAGTGCTTACAGGATGTAGCGTTAATTAGGGAGAGAAAGAGTACAGCCATTCTTATTACTGGCTATAAGTGATGCCGTAGAAATATCTGTATCTTGGGCTTACTATACTATCGCAGGGCTGACAGTTTACAACAGCGTTGATTAATACGTGTGCAAGTATGTTATCATTTGCTCCTGTGCCTTATTGATCATAGACGACAGTCCAATATTGAAGGACACTTGAAAAAATAAAACTTGTCATGTATCCTAATGGTTAAGTTCATTAGTTTTCGACAGGTTGTGAAGGCATGGGATGTTTATGGCCTATACAACAATGAAACATGCCAGTCAATGAAAGATATAGACTAATCTTTCTTGTTACACTGTAGAATCACATAATCAGGAGTTTTCAAGTAACTTTTACTAGGAAATTCTGTCCTGGATTAAAGCATGTATAATTAATCTTTCTTCGTTCTATTTCAATAATTAATTAAAGAAATAGATCCAATAAGAATGGCAATCATTACAGTATTTCAACTAGCGTATATTATGGACCGTTGCTATAGTATAAGTCGTATAAAAAATTGAAATTGATAGTCTTAGGTGTACAGGTGATTAGTCTATCCAGTCGGTTAAAAATGATTTGGAAGTTCGTTTTTAGCATGTTAATGATTGTAATGTAAAACTTACACCTACAATTAGTTTCCCTCTCTATATACCAACGGACTCATTAAACCTAAAAGGACAGCAGGGCTGCCTGATATAGTAAATAGAATATTGGGATTGTGTTAGATTTTTTACTTCCAGCTTAAGACTTTCCCAGATTTTTGGCCTATTAAGATGATTGCTATGTTACCGTACTTTTATTATACGAACATGAAAAGTTCGCTTTAGTACGAGATGGGTGAGCGAAATGTTTGATAGTTAATATCTTAATAACAGAAATGCAAAATTATGTTACCATCATTCGCTATAATAGCAAATATTGGTGATATTGCGGTTGGAAAGAATATTGTTTATGGTCTAATCGATAGTATATTAAAGGTAAGGTAATGATATAAATATTGTTCAAAGCTAGGGATTAATTCTATAGTCAATAAGGAAGCCGTCATATTAGGATGAAATAGACATATACTGCAAAAATGATCCATCGTACTATTGAAATTAAGAACAGCATATCCAAAATGATCCAGGAATCATTCTTGAGTTGGTACTGACCAAACCTTTAGTGATAATTTGGTCAACATCCTCATATATTTATTGAACAAATTTCGATCATTGGTTTGTAATCGACAATAAATTACAATAGTATTATTGCCTATGTGAACCAGAATGTAAAAAATGATGCGATCATACTGTATCCATAGGCGTATGATATAGTATATCCGGATTGATCCAAAAGTAATCCTTGAACTATCAATTAATCATTAAACTTTGATGATCAGAGCTACTGAATTTCTATAGCGATGCTACAGAATTAGCTCTGTATTAGAATATTATCTATCTACTGTGAATACAATAAGTATTATTGTATAGT